TTTCGTCCTCCTGTCCATGCACTGGCATGACGTGACGAACTAAGGCTAATCGACTGCACTGTCGCCTGTGCTGTGAAGAAGTAGAGGAAGGAGTGTAGTGGAGACAAACATTATAGATCTACATGTAATAGGTCTATGCTATGATAATAAGCCCCAAGGATAGATCTAGATCTAGATCTAGATCTGGTCCTAGTAGGCCCACTGCATTAATTAGGCCCTTACTTCTAGACCTAGACTCTAGATCTAGATCTAGATCTAGATTCAGTACTAGATTCTAGATCTAGATCTAATTGACCTGGACACTGATACTAGATCTACAATCTATCATCTAATTTAGATCTAGAGATCTAGATATCTATATCTAGATTATATCTAGAATCTAGATCTAGATCTAGATCTAGATATCTATATCTCTAGGATTCTAGATTTAGGTCTAAAGTCTAGATCTAGGTGTTCTAGATCTAGATCTAGATATAGATCTAAATCTAGATCTCTCTAGTCTAGTTAGGCCTACACAAGAGAAAAACGATATTATGTAAGGTTAATGAAAAAGTACATGTGCAAATTCTTACATTTCAGGGTCCTTTGGAAAGCTAACTAATGCTAGGTCTGGTATTTATGCGATCTTGAATTGGCACGGACGCAGACTGCCGCAAAACACCACTTACACTTGCAGGTGACTTGCGACTGTCGATAGCCGCCATTAGCTTTGTTTACCGCGCCTCGTTTCACAATCAGCTGGTGACCTGGATACGCGAAAAGAGGCCTCGTTTCCTGTCTCTATATTTTAGTGTCTCTGGTGTCACTTCCCAACGAAAAGTGACACGACCATTTCCGAGAAGGGAAGTAAGTCCATCAAAACATAGTGACGTCAGAAGATAAAAGCAGAACAACAGAAGGAAGGAAAAATTCAAGCAAGATGGCGTACTATCAAACCAGACCGAACAACAACAACGGATTGTTTTCCCCTGCAGTATTCAAATTTGATCATTTGTAAGTGTGATACTTTTAATTTTTTGGTTATTTATCTGTCTCCGTAGATCTATATATAGATATATATCTAGATCTAGATCAATGCACCCTTTGCATGACAACCTAAGACCTAAGCAGTATCAAAGGAAACAGGATCAAACGGGGCAGCTCATGGATGGCAGAAGCCTCAGAAGCCGAAGTCTCCTTGAGGAAAGTTTGTGGCATCGATGAAATAGAAATGCTGTGGAAAGGAATGATGTGAACTGAGCCCCGATTGCAGAAGCCTGGTCAACGTTCACATCACTATGGGTCGTGAAAGACGGGAATGTGCTGCTGTCATTAACGACAATGATGACTTAGGACAGTTAATTGAGGAGCATTCCAAGCTAGAGTACAACCCAGTGATCTCTACTGATAATACTCTATACGGATGGATCCGTCAGGAGGGGTGAGAAAAGTGGATGGGGTTTTGTGGTGTACAGTGGAAACAAAAAGGTTCATAGCATGCCAGGGGCCATAGAAAAAGCAACTTCAAGCATGAAAATGGAGATTGAGGCCATTAACTTTTTAACAAAACCAAGATAATTAATACTAGATCTAGATCTAGATCTAGATCTAGATCTACCTCATCATTCATCATTGTCACAGACCCCTGCCCAGAGCATCCTGCTAAGGGTTGAGAAAGGGCTTCGGGGTGAATGGATGAACCCAATACAACACTCATCACTTAGAGCCATCACATGGATATTCTAGCCTTGGCACTCTGGAGTGAAAGGCAATGAGGAGGCTGATAGGCTGGCAGGCAGGGCTGTGGTTGATGATGAGGTGAATTTTGACAAAGGAGAAAAGTGTTGAAGACTCTGGAGAAAAAGATGCGGGATGAAGAAGACAGGGAGACAGCAGAACACCACGCAATCATTAGGAAGCGGGAAATGGGGATAGAGAGGGGAGAAGGAAGAAAGGAATGATTATCTGGAAAGGAAAGTCATCGCCATGATCAGACAGCCACCAGAACAATCGGTATGGATACCTTGCGGGCTTTGGTGCTGGGGGGAACTGAGCACTATATTATGGACCTATCCGGTGTGCAATGACGTTGTTGCCCAGAACAGGTTTAATACTATCTAGACCAGTCAGATTCTGTGACTGTAGTATGGGGTGCCCATTACGACTGGATCGGGCCGATCGCCCGACTCGGTCACCTGAAACTGAAATCAAATTAAATTTAACTGTCCGATCCTGTCTGATTCTGAGGTGTGGTCAGACTCGGTTCAGCAGAGATCAGTGTCAGTTGTTGATATACACTGGATGCTCATGGCAGATGGGATCGTTTCGAGTCGGGGGCAATCGCCCCACTCGTCGCCTGCACCCTGCCCGTTAGTTTTTTATTTTAAGGCGACATGTTGGGCGCGATCGGGCCTTAAAAATAGACAGGCTACTTTGTGCCCTCAGTCTTGCTAGCAAACCGCCCCGACCAGTCCCGATCCCCCAATGTGGGCACCCAGTTATAGTTGATTCTAGTGACTGATTATAATTACTGTTTCAACTGAATTGTTTTTATGTATCTTAACTCTTTTAAAAGCCCTGAGTTTTTTCTACCGTTTCCCAGAGTTTTTTGTGTAAAATTACAATCAGCTAAACCTAGTGCACTTTTGTCATTATCACCCCCAAAAGCTTGCCTCTAACTTCTAGATTTATGGCGTAAACAAAGGCTTAGTCATTACTTAACAAAGTTGGTTCGGGAATAGTTATATATATATATATATGAAAAACAAGCAAAAACTAGATTTAGCACTAAATTAAATAAAACGAAAATGTTGTCACTAGTACTGGACAGTCCCAGCGCCCAATGGGGCGATGGGGAACATGGTTATTACCGTCGGATGTTCCCAGCATCCGATGGGGTTCAAAGAGTTTTAAATCTTGTCAGGGTGTCCAGCAAGGTCATAAAGTCGTAAAAAAGTCATAAATGTCGTAAATGGTAGTACATTTGCCTTGAAGGTAGTAAACATTTTGTAGATGGTCGTAAATTAGCCTGCCTACTGAGTGATGAAGCCAGCAAGACTTTTCAGTGAACCCTAGCCACGGTATATGACTCCGTTTTTGCCGGTCACGATTGTGATATTCGTTCACCTTTTCCCCGTCCGAGAGTACATTTCACGCGAAAAGGTGACTGTGGCGGCAGGCGGAAGAGTATGTGACACCGAGGCTTGATCGGGAAAATCAAGATCTACTTTCGCTACCACCCAGAAACTTGCCGACGATAAACTGATAACGCAACATCAGCGGCATGCAGGTTGTACAATATTTATTATAAACGCTGTGTCTCCGTGCAAATAAAATTTAATAATTACTTGGACTCGTCACCGTGCTGCCACTTGTGTGTGTGTGTGTGTTGGGGGTTAAAAGAAAATACAAGTATCGTCCGATTTTTAGATCGTTGGGTTGGCCATCGTCACAGGTCAGTGAACCTTCGCACGAGGCACCACAAGATACGGCATAGGTGAGCACCGGCGTTTGTTAGGGTCGCCAAAGTTCATTTAAAAGTCTAAGCGTTGCGAAGTATAGGACTAAGGAATGGGGCAGGGATTATTGATTTTTTGTTTTTAGAGATACACTCGGGGGGGGGTTTGAAGGCAACACCAGAGGACAAAAACTTGTAAGCAAATTTCAGAATTATGATTACATTTAGAGCCCTCTGCAAAGCGCGTGTTGGTGCAGGCCTTATGTGGAATCTGGATCCTTCATACCTTGTAAGCCGTGTTATTGAAATAAGGTGTTCGCGTTTCATTGGTTAGGTTATAGTAAATTAGAACAGGATTGTAGCTTTCTGTTCAAGACTGGCAGATTTTCAGTGTCACTGCCTCTTGCCCTCCCACAGTTCTTACACCTCTCACACTGAATAGGTCTACTTGAGCCATTCAAATTATTGCTCTACTTTTAGTTTGAGCAATAATTTTTGTCTTTCACGTTCATAATATGAGTCATGACACCCAGATTGGTTCTTGAACACTAGAAATTCTCGCTCAAGGCCCCTCCGAACGCTCAAAGCAGGATTCATTTTTCAAATATATAATAATGAGAGGAAAATATTATTATAACAGACTGAAATACACCTAAGTCAAACAAGACCCCCAGTGTGACACTGAGATGTTGTTGACTGGATATATTTTACATGTGTGTGTGTATGTGTGTTGTTGTTGTGTAACATGGCCCTGCAAAATGGATGACCCCCTGGGAAATTGAGAAGCCGGTTTGGCTGTCACCCTGTAGTGTACACATTAGGTCTAAATCTACCCCCCTCCCCCTCCCACCGCCACCAGGGCACTGCTACTGACTGAGCGTCTTTAGGCCATTCCCAAAGGGAGGATATTAACATGTTCTTATGCGCAGTAGAATTGTAAATGGGCTGATTTATCAATGTCATGCTCACTGTGCTGGACCAACATAGGGGGAACTGCTGTTTTTTCTGTCCTCTTCTTTACTTCTATCGTCATTTTCCTATATTCTTTTGTTTGTTTGTAACTCTTCTTGTGAACTACTATTTACGGGTGCCTTAATTGATAATCGAAGTTTGATTCCCCGTTTGGACTTCTCTTTTGACATCCACCCCTTGTCGCTCATATTGTGACCTATGCAGTTGCGACCGCTGTAAAAGCCTTACTAAAACTAAATCTAGCAGCGAGCAAGCTTGCGATCGTCTGTCTATCCTCCATTTTGTCGACTGGACTTTGTTGTGTGTTGAGTGTTGTTTTCGTTCCATGTCATGTAATAATAATATAATGTTATTTATGGCCCAAATAAACTCCCTTTTTCGTGCTGGTGTGGGGCTTGATTTGCTGGGTATTTCTTTTCCAGGTAGTACATTTTTCCAGGAAATATTGCTGGACACCCTGCTTCTTGGTTACTGCCAACTTTTTGCGCTTTTTCGGTAGGCAAAGTTCCCACCCCCTAATTTAAATAATTATTGCCTATTTCCCTGTTTCGGGAATCGGGTTAAAACTTCCTTGATATAGACCTAGATTGAATATTTGAAGAGATTTTTGACTATTATGAGAATCTCCCTTAGTACTGTACATGATAGAAAATAAGATCTACTTGTTAAACGCGAACTTTTGTTAAAACAGTAAATGGCACAGAAAGCGGTTCACTTTCCAACTTGGCGATAGGCCAATGTTATTATCAATGAACTGTTGGCCAAATTGTACTTCCACTTCGACCAAGACAACAATACTAATAGCGACAGTTTGGACGACAGTCAATTTCCCAGACACACTTCATGATTGTAATTAACAACACAAGTCACTAGGCCTGGGTGTAGTGTTTAATTATGTAATTTTCTCAAATCGACTTCAATCTAGTATTTTTACCTACTGTTACTCAAATACAAAATCGAGCTCAATTTTGCAAAATTCAAATAAAATAGCCAAAATAATGGGGGTGGGAACTACTGAAAAAGCGCCTCCCCAACTTTTAGCTATATTTGTGCTGTTACTGTTACATTTGCATTGACAAGCTGTTGATTGTCTTGGGAAAGAGAGATTAGATCAGATCTTGTGGCCCAGAGCCTAACTAGAGCTTAAGGTGTTCGCCTCTCATTCAAAGGTCCCAAGTTGGAATCCGGGTAGCAACAGAAATTTTTTTTTCTCTAAAATTGCCTCTCTTCGCCTCCTTTCCTGCTCTCTAACAATAATCTGTCATCTGCTTTCATCTCCACCTTCTGCCCCCGCCTTGTTTGCCCCCTCCTCTAGGCTCCTGACTCTTTCTGCAGCCTTTTTTTCTGCTACTCCGTGGCTCCTTCTTACTTACTGTGCTGTCTTTCAGCCTCACCCTTGATCTTTTGGTAGGAAAGATCAACACCAGCTAGCCTTCTCAGACAAGGGTAAAAAAAATCTCGGAGGTCCCGTATGCAAGTTGCGGACGTTAAAGATCCCTTAGTGGTCTAATATCGATAAGAGCAGATTTTGGCCGCCACCCGGGCAAAATTCAAAATTTCCTACCAACTGAAAATGTTTGGTGTGTCCCACATGCTCATATGACCTTATGCAGTTGCGAGCGCTGTAATACTTACCCCAAAAAAATGGTGAAGACTGAAAAATTTTCTGCTCTCCTTTCACCCCTTTTCCTGCTCTCTTGCAATGTTCTGCCATCTGCTTTCGTCTCCACTTTCTGCCCCCACCCCATCACATCCTTTGCCCTCTCCTCTGGGCTCCTGACTTTTTCTGCTGTCTTTCTGCTGCTACTTCTTACTACTTGGCTTCTTCTTTCTGCTGTCTTTCAGCCACTCCCATGATCTTCTGGTAGGAAAGATCTACACCTAGTCTTCTCGAACAAGGACGGAAAATCTTGGAGGTTCCGTGGGCAAGTTGCGCACATTAAATATCCCTTGGTGGTTTAAAATCGCCTACTTAGGCTTCAGCCGCCACCCGGGCTAAATTCAAAATTTCCTACCAACTGAAAATGTTTAATGTGTCCCGTGAGCTCATATGACCTTGTATGCAGTTGCGAGCGCCGTAAAACACTCGCCAAAGAAATACAAAAGGTGTTTCATCTTACGTACCCTACGATCAGGGGTTCGATCCACTCTGGATCACCTGGTCCGCCTGGAGACCTTAATACGCGAGACGTTCGCTGAAAGAGGCCACATGATCGCCATCTTTTTTTTACCTAGAAAAAGCCTTTGACACAAC